TCACACCTGAGGACACAATCACACCTGAGGACACAATCACACCTGAGGACATATTCACACCTGAGGACACAATCACACCTGAGGACACAATCACACCTGTGGACACAATCATACCTGAGGACATATTCACACCTGAGGACACAATCACACCTGAGGACACAATCACACCTGTGGACACAATCATACCTGAGGACATATTCACACCTGAGGACACAATCACATCTAAGGACACAATCACACCTGAGGACACAATCACACCTGAGGACACAATCACACCTGAGGACACAATCACATCTAAGGACACAATCACACCTGAGGACACAATCACACCTCAGTTGTGTGTGTGTGTGTGTGTGTGTGTGTGTTTGTGTGTTACCTGTCCTTTTCTCCATCTGTGTCCTTCTGAGCTGTGTTTTTAGCTCCACCCTCCTCCAGCTCTTCACCATGGCAACCAGCTGATCTGTCCTCACACACACCCAACACACCCTGACCACACACACACACACACACACATATTCATGAGGACAGGCTCATCCAATCAGCTTCCAGGGATCCTTTACTGAGATTACCCGTAAAACACAGGTCCAATTAAACTATGATTCAGCCAATCAGAGTGCAGGATGTGTGTGACCTCATTATCACTGTGTGTGTGTGTGTGTGTGTGTGTGTGTGTCACTCCTCTCTGAGCGCGCTCAGTTCCCCCTGAGCAGCAGCCTACTGAGCATGTGCAGAGCTCATGTTCGCTGCCTCATGATGCTCACACACATCACGTCCACTCACACGGTCTCGGCTAATCAGAGGCCCCACAGCCCCCCCTTGTGGCCTCAGCCAATCAGACAGCTGGGCAGCAGCAGGAGGCGGGGCTTCATTATGTAAACAAAGAGGAGAGACTGCAGCATCTCTCAGTGATCTTTACTCTGCTCCTCATCTGCTCTTCTTATCATATTCATCTGTTGTTGATTATCTTTATTATTATTTATTGACTGACTGATTTGTCTGCACTTTTATTTGTGCTTTTATTTTTTTTCTTTTAGCTTTTTTATTGTGAAGTTTGATCCTTGGACTTCCTGTCATGTCACTGATCTTTTATGACTGATTGGATATTAAATGTCAGATATACAGCTGATTCAAGCTGCATTCAGCAACACATGGAAACGTCAAATGCTACATCACACACGCCACAATTGAACCATTTCCTGTAGCAGTGTACATTTCATTTTGGCGGTGTTCGTCCGGTGGTTCCCAACCCCAGGGTTGGGTCCCTCTGAGGAGTCACAGGGTCCCTCTGAGGAGTAATCACATGACTCACGCTCTGATGAAAACACATGCTGAGTGGATGGACGCTGACTCACCTGGACGTCCTCTGACACTCGCTGCGGCAGCGGCACTGGTGGCTGCAAAGACTCCGGATCTGTGCAACCAAAGTCATGGTGTCTCATCTTCTATCAGACCACATGGAGCCGTGACCTCTGACCCCGACACACAGGAAGTTCCTAACACTGCAGGCCTCCTCTGTGTGTAACAAAAATCAGGACGTGTTCATTAGCTTCAGGACAAACTACAGTGGAAACACTGAGGAGTTCTGTTAGTGACAAAGGATGCCGCCACTGCGGACTGCTGTTAGCCAACAGAGGAGGACGTGTGAGAGCGTCTTGCTGTGTGGACGCTACAGCAGCTGCTGAACACTGCTCACAGCTGGCTGAGACCTCAGCTGTTCCACCTGCAGAGAGAATTCACTGCCGTCTTTGCTGTAGCTGTTTACAGAGCTCCCAGGGCTAATGCTACAGCTAACCCTAATGCTACAGCTAATCCTAATGCTACAGCTAACCCTAATGCTAAAGGTATGCTAAAGAAGCCATGTGGGGCCAGCAGGACGGCGTCAGTGAGACCAAACACCCTGACAGATCTGTAGAGACGGACACCAGCTGACATCAGAACACATCGGACTGTCGACTGCAGTGCCGCAAACTTTAATATCTGTCGACATATTTTAAACATATGGAGTCTTTGTTGGTTGTAAAGACCACTCAAGACAAAGTAAGGTACGGTAAGGTGAGACGAAAAGAGAAGAGACGAGACAAGGTAAGGGAAAGGAAAGAATGGAGGATAAGGTAAGACAACATGAGGTAAGGCATGGATAGGTACATACACACATACACAAACATTATCAATCAATCAATCAATCAATTTTATTTATAAAGCCCAATATCACAAATCACAATTTGCCTCACAGGGCTTTACAGCATACGACATCCCTCTGTCCTTATGACCCTCACAGCTGATCAGGAAAAACTCCCCAAAAAAACGGTAGAAAGCTGAGGAAGAGCAACTGAGGAGGATTTTAAATTCAATTCTGGATTTTACAGGGAGCCAGTGCAGAGAAGCTAAAACAGGAGAAATATGATCTTGTTTCTTAGTTCCTGTTAGTACACGTGCTGCTGCATTCTGAATTAGCTGGAGAGTTTTTAAGGACTTACTAGAGCTACCTGATAATAGAGAGTTACAGTAATCCAGCCTTGAGGTAACAAAAGCGTGGACCAATTTTTCTGCATCTTTTCGGGTCAGGATAGGCCTAATTTTCACAATATTACGCAGATGAAAAAATGCAGTCCGTGAGGTTTGTTTTGAATGAGAATTAAAAGACAAATCTTGATCAAATATTACTCCGAGGTTTCTTACGGTAGTGCTAGAGGCCAGAGCAATGCCATCTAGAGAAACTATGTCATCAGATAAAGAGTCTCTGAGTTGTTTGGGGCCAAGAACAATAACTTCAGTTTTGTCTGAATTTAACATCAGGAAATTGGTGCTCATCCAAGTTTTTATGTCTTTAAGGCAGTTATGGAGTTTAGTTAATTGATTACTTTCTTCTGGCTTCATCGATAAATACAACTGAGTATCATCCGCATAACAATGGAAATTTACAGCGTGATTTCTAATGATGTTACCTAAAGGAAGCATATATAGAGTAAATAGGATTGGTCCGAGCACAGAACCTTGCGGAACTCCAAAACAAACTTTGGTACGTAAGGATGATTCATTATGAACGTCAACAAATTGAAAACGATCAGATAAATAAGATTTAAACCAGCTTAGTGCTGAACCTTTTAGGCCAATTAAGTGATCCAGTCTCTGCAGTAGAATTTGATGGTCAATTGTGTCAAACGCCGCACTAAGATCTAATAAAACAAGTAGAGAGACGAGTCCTTTGTCTGAAGCAATCAGAAGGTCATTTGTAATTTTAACTAGTGCTGTCTCAGTGCTATGATGCTCTCTAAATCCTGACTGAAATTCCTCAAATAAATTATTATCATGGAGAAAATCACACAGCTGGTCTGCGACTACTTTCTCAAGGATCTTTGACATAAAGGGAAGATTAGATATTGGTCTATAGTTGGCTAACACCTCTGGATCCAGGGTGGGCTTTTTTAGTAGAGGTTTAATTACAGCTACCTTAAAAGACTGTGGTACATAGCCTGTTAATAAGGATATATTGATCATATCTAATATATGAGTGTTAACTAAAGGAAAGACCTCCTTAAAAGACTGTGGTGCACAATACACTACAGGAATATCTCAGTACTCTGAATATAATCACAGTATTTATATTCTGTAGTGTAACTGTTTACAGTACTGTGATCGTGTCACAGTATTGTGAAGTACTGTAAATATGACTGTACTGTCAGAGGAACAGGAAGCAGTTCGTACTATGACGGAAGTACTGAGTGTGTACCATTAAGTACCATCAGATATAAAACCCCTCCACAATAAAAGCCTGGCGGGAATCCTTCAGAATAAAAGCCCGTGATGTTTCAAAACACACTGCTCGCGCACTGAACGTCACACAGAAAACGAGTTCATATCAAAACCACCCATCAGCTGACGGCCGGGGACCCGCTCACCTGTCTGTGTCTCTGTCCGTCTGTCCACCTGTCTGTCTCAGCGCGTGTCCCTCGGTCCTTCCTGTCCTCCTTCAGGTCCGCAGTAAACAGCTCCTCTTCACTGCAGCTGCAGACTCGCAGCATCAGCATCAGCAGCGGCGCATCACGGGAACTGAAGTCTAATGGTACGTCGGAACCCCTCTGATGACGTTATTACGTACAGCTCACTCAGCCCTGAGTTCAGTCTGTCAGGCAGCAGCAGCTCAGACCAGGTTGATTTAAATAAAGTTTAAAGTCAAACTTAATTTTCTCATTACGTCACTTCCCACAAACACTTTGCTTTTTTAACATTTCAGCTGAGGTGAATTTTAATTTTTATTTAACCAGACAGTCCCACTGACATTAAAGGCAGCAGCCAATCAGCGCTCATGTAAGACTCAAACATGGCCGCCTCTCATGTCTGTCACCAGTTTTTATTTTGTCCTTAAACTCAGAGGGCGGACGTGTTTCTGATTTTACATCTTAATAGAGACAGTTCGATGTCCTCGGGTCAGAGTAGGAAAATACAGTTTTCCTCGGCTCTGTTTAAACGCAGGTTCTTCACATTTAAAGGGACAGTTCACACGTTTACAGGAGGACTGATGAGCTTGGGGTGGACACGTTAGAAACATCTGATCAACGATCAATAAACTGACAGAAATGAGGAGACGGAGACACAGCTGTGTTGGACCTGATCAGTTTTATTGTTTCTGTACAAACAAGAACATTGACGGCTGCAGACGTCCACTCGTCTTCACACTCGGGAAGGATACAGCATCTGGAGACAAACGGGAAGTTGGTTAGTCACAACATAAACCTGCAGGTTACGTCAGCTCAGCGTGTCCACAGAGTCACGTCTGGTGTAGCATGTCTGTCTCAGAGACGTCCTCACAGTAACCGCAGACACCTTCACCTCCAGGGTTACAGAGTAGGAAGGAAACAAGCTGTGATCTCTCAGATGTCCCGAGAGTCCCTGAACTCACCACTCTGACTCTGTGTCCGATAGCTTTGGCCGGCAGGTTGCTGCTGAACTTGGCTCGCACCATCCCGCTGTTGCCGTGCGCCCGCGTGACCTTCCCCCAGATCACACGTGTCTTGTTGGGTTTACCGCCAGGCGTCACCGTGTTCCTGCAGACACAACACAGGGCTCATTAACCCACAGTCACGTCACTGCTGAGGTTTCATTTACACAGCAGGACGGGCCAGCCGGGTGGAGACGGGCCAGCCGGGTGGAGACGGGCCAGCCAGGGGACAGACAAGGGACAGAGAAATAGATGTCTTGGTGATCTTGTACCTAATCATGTCAGATTATCTGCTCTGATTTCCTTCACGTCAAGTTTGAAAACCGTTCTGGGTTAAAAAAAAACAAAAAAACCTTGGTTCGTAGGTCATCTCATACACCTCGCCACCTATGTCACCCCGAGATATAGTGGCGAGGTGCACACCTCCTATGTTGACCCGAGATATAGGAAGTGTGCACCTCGCCTACAGTTTATTTAAACCTGTCTAAATATGAATATCAAAAATAGTCTTAAGATAAAATATCAGTTATGAGTTCTATAAAAAGTAACAGATTGGTAACCAGACCGGGCGTCACAGCTGTTAACAATGCGTACGCACAGAACGAGTCCTGACCACACGTAAAAACTGTGACCTCTAAAACCAGACCCGATGGAGAAACTGACCCGTGGTGACAAACATGTTGGAGACAGGAAACTCGCGACACAGACTCAGAGCAGCGGAGAGAAGATGGGCCGCAGGTAACGACAGGAAGTGACCGAAGTTTGAGTTTCAATCAAAAACTGCTGTAAATCCAAACTACGTAACCACGTCAATACACCTCAGCAGAAAGAGTCCGACTGGGGTCTCATATGTAAAACACCACATGTGCTGCAGCCCAGACGAGGCTAACCGCGTGTTGTGTACGCTCAGAGGGTCGGACTCTTTCTACTCAGAATTTTGTTTTGTTTCAGTCTGAACCTCAAACTTTGGTCACTTCCTGTTGTCATCTGCGGCCCGTCTTTTCTTCCCCACTCTGTATTTTCTCTTTTCTGTTTTACAGTCGACGTGGTCACATCACGACTTCTGCTCTGATCATGGACGTCTGATTTTGGGACGTCTCATTCACAGCTCTCACATCGTCAGTGTGAGTGCTTTGTGCCACAGTAATAATTGTCCCTGTGAAACACAGAGCTGAACACAGACATGTGGATCAAACAAAGGTTTGACGCAGGACAACAGGCGTGGTGCAGGAGAACAGGAAAACAGGAGAACAGGAAAACAGGAAAACAGGAGAACAGGAGAACAGGAAAACAGGAAAACAGGAGAACAGGAGAACAGGAGAACAGGCGTGGCTGCAGGACCCTCCCCTCGTCTCTTACTTCTTGGCCTTGTAGACGTAGGCGCAGCGTTTGCCGAGGTAGAAGTCGACCTCGTCTCTGGAGTAACATCCCTCCAGCTTCAGGAGAGCCGTGTGTTCGCGCTGGTTCCTCAGACCGCGCTTGTAGCCAGTGAAGATGGCCTTACTCCACAGTCTGACCAATCAATGACAGAGACACAGAGTCACAGTCTGACCAATCAATGACAGAGACACAGAGTCACAGTCTGACCAATCAATCACAGAGACACAGAGTCACAGTCTGACCAATCAATCACAGAGTCACTGGGTGTTTCTCAGAGTCAAGGAAGGATCCTCAAACAGCTGAATCTGAAGGACACTACGTCATCGACGTCCTTCTTTCAGAGAAATTTGAAGGATCCATGTGTGGGTCCTAAGTGGGTATAAAATCCCCACAATGCTTTGCACACGAGCTGCTGGAAGTGAGGGTGGGGCCTCTTCAATGAAACCTCGGCAGGATTTAGATTAACGTCACGTTTACACATAGCCGGGTATTTAGAGAAACGAATATCTGCCCCCCTCCGTTTTCAGTAACATTGTGCACACAACATTGTTTTAAAAAATGTTGTCATTTACATGAACCGGATTAATATGCCGTCATAACTATGCCGAACGTATGGGCGGCAGTGTAGGGAGAAGGATGAAGCCATGCAAGCCAATCAGAATCGACAACAACGAATAAGACGCGCGACTTCCTGTTCCTTTCAAAACAGTAAACATGGCGAGAGGTTCGTTTGTGTGGACGGACAGTGAAGTGGAGCTACCCCTAAATGTCGCTTTAGATTACAACCTTAACAGCATGATCAGTAGCCAAACAAAGTGTAAACATAGGTCACTCATGACGTCAAGCATTTGCTGGCCCATGCTGTGACGTTTCAGAACCTAAAACCCTGTTTCACCCAGTTTACACGGCAACACACAAAACTGCGTTTCCAGAAATCTCCACTTTGGCCGGAGTTTTTACAAATGATCATTTTCTGTGAAAAAACCTTGCGTGTAAACAAGAGGCCAAACCGCATGAAAATATGTGCGTTTTTCCTACATGTAAACGGTGTATATGTCACTTATTTGGATTAATGTCTCCACCTGAGTTTCAGACAGACACCTCATTTACACTTTCCAATGTGTCACTGCCACATGATGAGATTTATTAAATAACAACGTGATTAAAGTTTTAAATGAATCATTCACAGCAGAGATGGAGCGCTTTACTTCATTACTCCACTTACTCTTAAATATGATCCAGAAATATATTCTCCCTAAAAGTCATGTGACTCTGACAATACTGACACGTGTTTAAAACTGTCCAACAACATTACAGAGTGTTAAACTGGTCACAGTAAGAGAAACCTCCTCAGTCTGCTGAGGGTTAATGATGATCACATGAGGACACTTGTTAGTCTGATCCAGTGAATGAGAGGGAGGACTCTGTCTCTGCAGGATCCTTCCTTGACTCTGAGAAACACAGTCTGATCATTACAGAATCAAAGTCTAATATTTTAACAGTCCGACTCATCAGTAACACTCGACGCTCCGTGTGAAGACAGACGCTGGACTCAGGTGACACAGGCAGACAGGCAGACAGACAGGCAGACAGCTGTAGCATCTTACCTTCCAGGCATCGTCAGTCTTCTCCAGGTGGGTCCACCTGCACACAGACAGTCATGTTAATACAGCAGCAACAATCCTACATGACTGTACAAGCCTGATCCACTCAGTGACCAGTTTATTAGGAACAACTGGTTCAAACATCACGATTCCTCTCAGAGCGACTACGGTGTGATGTCACAGGTTGAGCTCACCTGCTCAATCACAGTAAACTACAGTCACTGGGTTCATTCATGTTCATAAAGTGACCACACACAGAGCAGCTGCTGCCTCGTTGATGATGTTTCACTTTAGAATTACAGTTAAACCAGCACGTGCTTCTGTTGTTGTGTCCGCCATCTTCCTCTCAGGGGCGACAGAGTAAACACCTGGATGTTCACAGGTGTTCCTAATAAACAGGTTAACTAAGTGAAAACAGTCACTAATAAACTCTATTAGCTATCAGCAGGCTAACAGGAAGCTAACAGCGGGCTAACATGTTGGAGCCGCAGATCCCGCAGTGACACATTTAAACAGCACCACAAACACTCTGATGCTAACATGCTAACGTTTTAAACACGCTAACACAAACACAATGTTTGACGGCGCCATGTTGTCACGGCTCCACTGTCACACCGCGAGTTCTCTCTGAGTCTACCCGCGTCTGCAGCCGCTCAGCCCGGTCTGCTCTTAGCTCCGTTAGCCGCTGTTAGCTCCATCCGAACCGAATCTCCGGCATCACGGCCTCCAGCACCGGCACACAGCGGCCGGTAACCGGAGAACAACCGAGCCGTGAACTGACGGTGATTATCGGACTGAAACAACCCGGATTAAAGATGTTATTGAGACTTTGAGTCGGACATGTCGGTTTCTTACCGTCTCTGTGAACAGGAAGATGGAGGAAAAGGAAGTGACGAAGGACCGACGGGAAATTATTGTAAACAGAGGTGTCCGCGGAGCTGCCTGCACAAAATGGCGGATTTCACTCACAACGTGTTTTTAAAAGTTTTTTGTTGTTGTTTTATTTTTTACTTTTTATTTCATGTTGTCTTGATGGGACCTGAGTTTAAAATTAACGCTGTTATGACTCGACTTATATTTTTTAATCTTTATTTTATTGGTATTTGTTGTTTAATTGGGACCTCGTTGTATTTAGAAAACTATATTGTACCGTTATTAAACCCTGAGGTTTATTTTTCATCTTTATTTAATTTTTCTTTTTTTTTTTTTTTTTTTACTTCACGTTGTCTCAATGAAACATCATTTTGTACAGAAAACTAAATTGTAACTCGGGTACAACTCATTTTAACAGGAAAAAACATTTAATTATATAATGTTTTGTTTTACATTTATCTTTTTATTGTATAGTTATCTACTTAATTATATTTTATCTTATTATATTTGTATATTTATTTTTATTTTAATCTACACTAAAAGTAAACAGTATTATTATTCAGTTTAATTAATTTATTTTATGTTGTTAACTGGAACCTCATTTTATTAAGACAACGAAATATTCAGTGTTTATTTTTTTCCATCTTAATGTAATCTAATCTATTTCAATTAAGTTTAATTATTCTACCTAACATTGTTTAATTGGATCTCATTTTACAAAGAAAACCATATTCTAACTGTGTGTTATTTATTTTTATTGTCATTTTATTATTATCTGTAAAATCTTGAATCAGGCAACAAATACACATCATTTTAAATCAGAAAAGTGTTTTAAATTTCTGGGTGTGATAAAAGATAATTAATTAATTAATTAATTAATTATGAAAGTCAACTACAGTAGTTTATAAAATGAGGGATTTTCTAAATTAACATTGTATTTTTAATTTTATTTTCTAAATAAAAACAAATGTTAACTGTGTTCTACATGATGCTTTTTTATCTTTACAAATTTGATTTTAGAATTAATTTTTATGTTTATTATTTTTCTCATTTATGACTTAATTATTTAGCAAATTTCACATTTTCTTTATTTTGCTTTGCTGATTTATTAATTTTTTTTAAATTTGTTTAATTAACATCACATAAAAAAGCTGTATCAATAAACCTTTAATAAATACTTTTGATTTAGACCTGTGATTTATTGTACTGATACTTATTTTTTATGCTAACACTTATTATTATTATTAGACTGGTATATTTATTTCATTATTATATTTATTGTACTGATATGTTATTTTCATTGCACTTATTTTTGCTTCAATCACATTCATTTTGAATGTAATAGCAGTATAAAATATGCTTTTTATTTTATTATACTGGTATTTATTTCTTAGGTTGATATTCATTCTATTATATTTACTTCTATTATACTGATATTTATTTCAATATATTTTTCTTCATTATGATATTTATTTTTTTATATATATTTTGATGTGTTGAACTGAGAGGACTGACCTGCGGTCTGTTTGTAAGATAAATGACATCAGAGGAGCGTCGGTGGTGTCTGAGGGTTCACGTCAGTGAAAAGAGTCAAATTAAAATATTTATTTTAAGCACTTAAACTCAACTCTTCATACACGTGTTCAAATCTTTTATACAGTTTACAGCAAAAAGAAAAAGTGAAAAACTGTAAAAACTGTGACAGTCCGTTTGTCCTCCAGAAAACACGGTGGAATGTCCTTTAAAACCACACCACCCTGCGATCACATGACCCCGTCACCGCCGTCACATGACCCCATCACCACCGCAGGAGAAGCACATGAGAAAAACATTAAACATCTGTACAAACATGGAACCACCTGATCGGTCAGTCCACACCTGTCCGCTCAGGACATGGAGACACGTGATGGGACAGAACAACTGCCAATCACAGCACCTGCTCAGGGGGACTGTTGGGCCCCGAGTTCTGCCTCACAGGCAACTCACCAACACCAGCGTTAAGAGATTAAAGACGCAGTTCACACAGGTGAGGTCAGATATGACGCTGCATTCAGGTCAAACAGGAACAAACATGACCAACATCCTCATGTCCCACATCACCTGAATGCAGCATCTGAACATGGAAATAAAGGTTTAATGTTAAGAACTCAACTGTGGTCACGCTTCCTGTCTCTGTCTCTGTGGGTGGAGCTTAAATGGGAAGAACAACTCAAACATCAGAAACTCTTTAATTATAAAATCCTCCTCAGACCCTGAAGAGTTCTGTTCACATGTATCTTTAATTTCTTCTCGTGATCTGGGATCGGTTTGACCTGAGGTATGAAAAACTAAACACCGTCTTTGAACAGGAAGTTGGTTTGAAACGAAACAATGTCCTCGTACAGGGACGACGGGTTTAAGTGTGTAACAGAGTATCAGACAGTTATTTAGGGCTCACATCCAAACTGTTCACTTCAACTCCTGAAGACGGCCGAGCACATAGCTGAAAACACAACAAATCTAAGAGTCTTCAAACGAGACGATAACAAAGTCCCGACATCCTCAGACGAGTCCATCCTCGTAAACGTCTCGTCTCAGCTTGTTACTGTGGATAAAATGGGTCAAACTTGTTGCCATATCAAACTACAAACTTTATTAATCATAAATAAAGTTTGACGATAAAATGTGATCAGGTTTTGGACCTCGTGTCTGAACGTCTGCAGACTGACAGAGAAACATCGATCTGTGTGTGCACGAGTACCAGAGCTGCAGATTCCTGTTGAACAGACGGAGAGTGATAAAGATGTAGTTCAGACGATTTAAGAAACGTCTTCTGTGTTCAGATGATCAAACAGACGATGAATCAAAGATGTTTGTTTCTGGCTGCAGCGTTAGCTCGCTGAAAAGTTTACTCTTCAAAATTTTGATAAAAAACGTCTCCATCTGTTGGTGCTGTCCGTCCTGAAGACAGGGACGTGAAACCCCCGGGGACAGATAAGACAAGCGTCCTGAGTCTGAGCTCCTGAACAGCCTCCATCAGACCCGCTGACCCAGGCTGTGAGGGCAGAACGTCAGTGGGCGGGGTCTGTTGGCTTTCCTCCAGTGTCCACACTCTCCCTGGATGTGGAGACATGGACTCTGTCCTTTTTTCCTCTGGGCTTTGTGTCCCTCCAGATCACCCATCCTAGCTTTTACACTCGACACAGCATCAACAGACAACATTTTAAAGCTAAGCTAACTTAGCTAGTGTAGCTTATGCTTGCTATGCTAGCTAACAGTGAAGTAAACATCTATGATCCATCGTCCGTTTGATAATCTGAACAAAGAACACGTCATGTCACGCTGCTTCTTTCTAGAATAAGCCGTGGTTAAAGTTACTTCACTCTGTGATGATCAGGAAGTTGATAAGCAGAAGCTAGCTAGTTGAAATGTTGTCTCCTCCCACTGCTGTGAGGTGATTGGCTGAATTAAATAAGGTTAAGTTTTTGACCAACAGGAGATGTGAGTCATTGTGAGTCTCTGATTGACAGATGCCCCGCCCTCTGACTCACACACCTCTGACCCTGAGGCTCTGCAGGTCAGTGATGTTGGACTGACTCTGCAGAGGCGGCCATCTTGTTTTTACATTAGTGTGTTGTGGTGTTGGTCTTCTTCTTTTTGTCTTTTAATGGCGGTTGGCAACCAGCGTATTAGGTGCATTACCGCCACTTGTGGTGTTGGTGCCACAAGATGGGACATTAAAGTGTCCACAAACAAGGACGACAGGTCAGAGTGAGACGGAGTGAAGTGAAAGATGCAGTAATGTGTCATGTCTTGACGTGAGGACGTTACGCGTTACTGCACCAGGAGGATGAATTTGGTGCGTGACACTCGATCTAACTTTCATCTTGCAATCGTCCTGAAATCTATTTTTTATCGTCTCTGCTGACTTTTTTTTGACGGAGCAACGGCATTCAGAAGAAACGCTGAGCTCTGAACAGGAAGTTTGGAAGAAGTGTGAAAAAAGAGCAGAGCGAGAGGATCCAGAGGAGACTCACTGATTAAGTCCAGCGCAGAGACAAGAGACAGGAGACAGTGACGGGCGCTGGGTGTTTGGGTGTACTGCTCCTTTAACACAACAGAGCTGACCTCCTGACATCACAGGTGAAGCTCCGCCCACCGCTTCCTCCATTTTCATTAACTTAAACAAAAAGAAACTTTTCTTGTCCTTTGACCTTCGATTGGGGACTGCGTCTGTCCACAGCGCTCGCTCACTCACTCACTCACACACACACACACACACACACACACACACACACACACACACACACACACTTATATTTACAGAGTATATTTGTACACATATATTTACGAAGAATAAAAACTGGTCGTGTGACTGTAGTGTCGCATCAGGAGGGTTTTTTTTAAATGTAAAAAATGTCCCAGAATGCAACAGTCACCACCTGATCGTCCTTGTCCAATCACAGCAGGACCTTCAGGGTTAGAATCAGCTTTGTTTGAAATAATAGTGATTATTGACTTATGGACAGTATCAGCTAATTACTGTCGTCTGTGTTCATGTTCATAAATCTGTTATAAATAAAGTTTAATGGTTTTATATTGTGTGTCTCAAGGTGAACACTGTGCGTCACTGAGGTGTCAAACACTGCTGTATAAATAAAGTTTTATTATTATTTCGTCTTTTCTTTCTAATCTAATAAATCAATTACGACCCCTCCGGTCGGGTCATGACAACAAACGTCCACATACTTTTGGCCACATGGTGACTGAGCACATGATCAGTGAAAGTGATGTCATGACTATGATGAAGGTCGTGATCACGTGTGGACGATGGACCAGGTGGTGACAGCAGCCAGGTACCAACCTGAGCTGTCAGCCGTGACATCATCACGGAGACAGAAATAAAAAACAAAATAAGCTCCTCCCACTCAGAGTTCACGTCTGTCTCCGTCAAATGATCGCTGATGTCAATCCAACTGACCTCCATTGAAAACTCAGGTAAGTTTTAAATAAAAACTAAATTCTGACATTTGGATCTGACGGAGAAAACACAACTGAAGATGTTAGCTAATGTTAGCTAACGTTACCACCACGCTACATTAGCTTCAACTCAAAACCTTAC